TTAATTAAGAATCTGTCTGAAGTTCAACATATTCCCAACATCTTATGGTGTCAAAACAGCACAGGGATATAGAGAGTTGTTTATGGGATTAGAGATAAAACATTCCCAAAAAGAAACTAGGCAAACATAGCAGGTTGTGGGGAGGTTCTGAAAAAAAACTATTTATTGAGGAGAAAGACTTATGGCTCCGAGGTAGAGGCTGGCTATCAAAACAACGACTGATATGCTAATTGAAGCCACTTGGCTTCCAGACCACAACATCTTGGAGCTATCATACATTGGTCAGTGTGTGTGGTGAGGGAAGAAAGAGAAGAGAGGACAGAGGAGGATATCCATTCAGAGGAGACATGGAGTGAAGGTCAAAGACGGAGGAGGAAGAGTAGGCGGGGCCACCCCACGGAGGACTCAGGAATACCACATCCACTGCCTGAGAGGTGAGGGGAGGGAGGGAAGGAGAGGAGAGGTGTGCAGTCAGGTGATGGTGCATTGAGTAGGGTACACTGAATCAGTCACTATAAATAATGAAAAGCACTGAAGTGCAAACCCTCGGCGCACTGTGACGCGCACGCGTAAGTAAATGCATGCGCCGTACCACTAATTGATGGGCTGGGTTTAGTTTTAGCTGTTACTCGTGGTCTCTTGCCAGCTCGCGCAGAGTCTGACGCGGGCTACTAGATAGCATGCGAGAGGCGATACACGCCCTGCCTTGCATCTTCTGGTGCCTCGAGGTACGCAGAGCACGCGGATCGATCCCGTTGTGTATTTGTATATTGGCTTTTTCGCGCTCTAGCTTTGCAACGGAGCGTTTTCAGAGAAAACTGTTCGAAATTTCTGACCTTCATTGCCCGTTCAGTAGATGGTATCCTTTGTGAGACGAACGAACACTCGAGAAGTGAGATGACGAGTAACAGACAGACAGACAGACAGACACAGTACAGACACACAAACCCAACTACCGTAACCCTCGGTGCGCATGCGCGCCGAGGGTTAATGAAAAGCACTAAAGTGCAAACCCCCTCTGGCGAACTGCGTATGCGCGGTACCGCTAATTGATGGGCTGGGCCTATTATACACTAGTATACGTTTACTCCCGCTTAGCTCGCGGAGAGTCTGAAACGGGCTAGCTACAGTAGTAGATAGCATGCGGGAGTCGATACACGCCCTTCGTTGTGACTTCTTGTGCCTCCTAGGTACACAGAGCAAGCAGATCAGGTCGAGGTAAGCTAGTTAACCCTCGGCGCGCATGCGCAGCGAGGGTTAGGTAGTTGTCCCGTAAGTGTGTCAGTCTGTCTGTCTGTCTGTGTGTTACCACGTTTTCTGCCACCGCGCGCACGAAATCAGGTAAATAGCGATATGATCGGTTCAGTGCTACACTGGGTTGATATTAAAAAAGGCGATTTTCGTAAAACTACTGTGTTTTAAAGTTATGGTGTCACCACGTTTTCTGCCACCGCGCGCACGAAATCAGGTAAATAGCGATATGATCGGGTTCAGTGCTACACTGGGTTGATTTTAAAAAAGGCGATTTTCGTAAAACTACTGTGTTTTAAAGTTATGGCGTGAAAACCAAGTGAACAAGCCAATATGTAAATTAGCACAGGCTTACCTCGACCGCGTCCGTTCGCTCTGTGTGTCTTGAAGTCACAACGAAGGGCATGTATCGACTCACGCATGCTATTTACTATAATACTGTAGCTAGCCCGTGCCAGACTCTCCGCGAGCTACTAGCGGGATACCACGAGTAAAGGCATACAAAACCCAGCCCATCAATTAGTGGTACCGCACATGCGCAGTTCGCCGAGGGTTTGCACTTTAGTGCTTTTCATTCTAATTAGCATATTGGCTTGTTCACTTGGTTTTCACGCCATAACTTCTGAACGCGGCACTTTTACGAAAATCGCCATTTTTAAAATCAAGCCAGTGTAGCGCTGAACCCGTTGGTGTCGCTATTTTACCTGTTTGTTGCGCGTGGTGGCAGAAAACGTGGTAACAGACGGACAGACAGACAGACAGACAGACGGACAAACCAAGTATCTATAACCCTCGCTGCGCATGCGCGCCGAGGGTTAATAAAAAGCACTGGAGTGCAAACCCTCGGCGCACTGTGACGCGCACGCGTAAGTAAACGCATGCGCCGTACCACTAATTGATGGGCTGGGTTTAGTTTTAGCTGTCACTCGTGGTCTCTTCCCAGCTCGCGCAGAGTCTGACGCGGGCTAACTACACTACCAGATAGCATGCGAGAGGCGATACACGCCCTGCGTTGCATCTTCTGGTGCCTCCGAGGTATATACGCAGAGCACGCGGATCGGTCAGAACCGTCCCGTCCGTTGTGTATTTGCATATTGGCTTTTTCGCGCTCTAGCTTTGCAACGGAGCGTTTTCAGAGAAAACCGTTCGAAATTTCTGACCTTCGTTGCCCGTTCAGTAGGTGGTATCCTTTGTGAGACGAAAGAACATTCGAGAAGTGAGATGAAGAGTAACTGACTGACAGACAGACAAACCCAATGAAAAGCACTAAAGTGCAAACCCTCAGCGAAGTAGCTCGCAGAGAGTCTGACACGGGCTAGCTACAGTAGATACAAGCACGCGAGCGAGATGACTTCTTGTGCCTTCAAGATAGACAGAGCAAGCGGACCCGGTCGAGGTAAGCCGCCTGTGCTAAATACAAGCGCATGCGCATTATCCGCCAGCGATAAAATGGCGACTACCGGCATTAGCCATACAATGCTGGATGCGCTCTAGCTTTGCAACGAAGCATTTTCAGAGAAAACCGTTCGAAATTCTGACCTTCATTGCCCGTTAAGTAGTCGTATCGTTTGTGAGACGAACAGGCGTCTTTCCAGAAGTGAGATTGAGAGTAACAGACAGACATCACGACAGACAACCCAACTACTGTACCTCGATGCGCATGCGCGCGAGGGTTAATCAAGACAGTTTCCATATG